ATGCTATCACTGTAATACTATCTATATATTACATAAATGATTATCCAAATTTCACCATCAGTAAGTTTTAAACTCACAACCTATCACTTGGAGGTATGACAACTTATCCACTTCACTAAGTCGCCATACTCTAATTCAAAATAGTTAATTTATATATATTATAATTATATAATAATTATATTTGCTCACTTATATTAAAGATCAACCTAATTTCAATTTTAATATTTAAATCAAATATTTAATTAAATTAAATTAAGAGTATATTTAATTTGACCAAATTCAAACTAATCTAATATTTAATTTAATTTGGATTTAAGAAACTCTACTAATTATATTAAAATAACTTACAAGTTATCAAGAGCTGTTATATAAAAAAAAGCTAAATAATTTAATAAATAAAAAGAAAATATTAGTAATACAAATAAATAAAGAAATATATAACCAGTATAAGATAAATAGCTACAATGCATAAGCATTAAGGATTATATAGACAAAGATATTAAAAGATTAAAGAAAAAAAGAATAAATTATATATAAACTAAAATACAACTAACAACTAAGTAAAGTAATCAAAAAAAAAGAAAAAAGATTCTAACAGAATATTAACTAATAAAAAAATAAAAATAAAAAATAATTACAAAAATATACAAATATAAAAGCTGTAAAATTAGACAAAAACAAATAGCAAACAAGTGCAAAAAATAGATAAAATAAAAATATAATATAAAAGTTATTTTAGAAAAAATAATTGAAAAAAATAATAACAAAATTAATGCAATATTAAAACAAATAACAAAAAACAAAACAATGTAAAAAAAATGAAAAAAAACAAGAAAACTGATAGAATTAAAATTGATAGAATTAAAACCAATAGAAGAATTAAAAATAGAATTAGTTAAGAAATAAAGATTAAATAGCAAAATTACAGATTATTTAATAAAAATTTTAGTAAAAAACAAAAAAACCAAATATTATATACAGATAAAGCATTATATAAAAAGATAAAAAAAAATAAATATTAAATAGATATAAGTAAAAGAAAAAAGAAATTAGCTAAAAGAAAAAATTCTATTAGAACCAGAAAGATAATCTTTAGCAATAATAACAAAATTAACAACAATATAGTTAGCAATCTTAATAATATTAGAAGAAAAAATATAAAAGTTTATATAAATAGTAATGCTATATTAAGAAATATTAACAAAGCAATTTAAAGTACAAAAAAAATTTTCAAAAAAAAATACAATATAAATAATAAATTAAAATAAAAATAATTAGAATTAAAATTTATAATAAAGATAAATAAAATAACAAAGCAGATTCACTTGTTAAAAAAAAGCAAATTATAAAAAAATAATTAATGTAAAAAAATTAAATATAATAAAATAAATTTCTATCTAGTATAAAAGAAACAAAAAGATTAATATTGTAATGATAATAGTCAGAACTACTCTAGAATTCTTTATTTATAAAGTAGCTGATAGGTTGTTTGCATAACATAGGACATTACTACATTTAAAAGAGATGTTGGATTTGGTGAATGTATCTGGTAGGTATTCTTTATTACATCCTGTATGTTCTATTTCTTATTTTATTCTAAATGCATTGCTTATATACTTTTTTCTATCTGCTAAATGCACTACTTATGCTATATATGCTAAATATACTAATTATGCTAATTACATTATATATGCTAATTACACTTTATATGCTATATATGCTATATATATTATATATGCTATATATACTATATACATTATATATGCTATATACACTATATATGCTATATCTATTGCATATATTATATTTACTAAATATACTGTATGTATGTCCAATCTTGTACATATTATCAACAATCCTATTTTGAATCATAATAATTCTCCCTACTTTAATATAATCATTCCATAAATTAGTTTAAGCTTCGCAGATTTTTGGCAAGTTGGTACAATAAGGCATAATGATTACAACTTGCAGGTTGCTAATAGTAAATCACAGATTATCTTACTAACAGTATCTATAACTTTAAGATTTTTTTTTTTTACTATAGTTTACTATTCACTAATTGTTTCTTTAGAAGAAATTCTCCACTAGGGTTGAATATCTGTTACTTTCCTCCAGAATCAAATATTTTGAGGGCTAATCAGCATATCAATAAGTATCAGGTGATACCTTTTGTTTTATTGGTGAATCCTTTACTAATCTCTAACTACTGTTTCTTCTTTTCTTTAGATCTATCATTTGAAACTAGGGTTGTTATTTTAGGAGTCAGTGAAATTGCTTGTCTCAATTGAGGGTTGCATGCAGTAACTTCAGTAATTTCTCTTTTTTTATCAGCTTTTAGTTCTTGATCATGTGGTTTCAAATAGGTTTTGCTATGCTTTGCTATCCTTTTTGCTTCATTCATCTATGCTTTAAACTTATTTACTTTTTTATTCCATTTATCGCAAGCTTTGCAAAGGTTTTCATAATTGATTAATTTGCTTGTATACATGTAGGCTGGTTCTTTATTTTTTTTAGCTCCAGTTTCTTTCTTATAGCAGAAACCAAGACAGTTTTGTTTATTCAAATAGGTTCTTTTAGCATTTTTCAGATACCATCCAGATGCTTTATAGTTAATCTTTTTAACTTCAATTCTATAATAATGACTAATATTAAATGCTCTCTTAGCATGTTTCATATCGACATCTTTCTGACAATCTTTGAATGCTTCATATTCATTTTTTTTGACTTCAATTTGCTTCACCTTTTTTACATCATTTCATTTATCTTTGTTAACTCCCTTTCATTCATCTTTCTCAACTTCTTTTTGTTCATTCTTTTTAACTTCTTTTCATTCATTCCTTTTTAGCTCCCTTTTATCTATCCTTTTCAACTTCTTTTTATTCATCTTTCTCAACTCCCTTTTGTTTGTCCTTTCCAACTTCCTTTGTTCATTTCTTTTAACTTCGATATGTTCAGTCTTTTTAATTCTAATGTGTTTGACTTTTTCAATTCCAATTCATTTGTCTTTTTCAACTCCAATTCCATTTTTATAGCAACAATTATCATTAAATGCTCTCATATTTTTGGCATGTCTCATATCTGCAGGTTTTTGATAATAAATAATGGCTTTGTGTTCATCTTTTTTGACATCAATTCTATTGTAATGGCATTTTTCATCATTATATGTTCTATTAATATTCCTCATCTCAGCAGGTTTACAATAGCTGACATTATATGTTTCTTTAACATCCTCATCTTAGCAGGTTCATAATAAATGAACATCATATGTTTGTCTTTTTTGATTCTAATTTTATCTTTAGTATTTTTTAAATATCATTTAAATGCATTCTTTTTATTCTTGGCTGTATTCATTCCTAAATTGTAGTATTGCCAAGAGCCATGTTGTTCAGATGAGTCATCACTTTTAGCTGATTTTGAATACCACTTGGATACTTCATTTTTCTGGTCTACTAATCTATTTTTTTCTTTTCTTATATAGCTTCTTATATTATTAGGGGTTCGGGCTCTTCCTTTCATCGATCGTCTTGCTTACTTCTTTCTTTCAAGGGTATTAGGTTAGCATCTTTTCCCCAAGATATGTGTTTCTTGTTCCATATTAATTTCTTCTTTTAACTAATAAGATTTCTTTCTTCTTACTTCATTTGCAATTTTTTGATAGAATTTCGCAAACAACTTGAACTCTTGGAATTCTTTCTTACCTATTTCAGTATTATAGATCTTTTTGCTTGCTTTCTTTACATAGTTTCTAACATATTCAGTAAGACTTATAAAATTTTCTTTGTCTAGTTTCATTTTTTTTTTTTTTTTTTTTGTGTATTCTAGTGATTAGTAATATTAATTCTGATTTTTGTCACTATGACAATATTTAGTATGCTTAACTTTAAACAATATTAAAATTAACTTTATCATCACTCTGACTTAAGCTTTCAAAGTTTATCTGTCGATCCTTATGACTGTATGCTATTCTTATATCTCAAATTGAAATTTCTTCTTTTTCTTGCAAGTATTCTGATATTACACTTCTATTGTATAATGAGTATGTTCATTTAACCAAGCCAGTCCTTTAATTTTTGATTATCTTATATTAACTATCTAATTACTTGAACCAATCGAGCTAGAAGTACTCTTTTTATTTTTATTTATTGGTTTTATTGCAATTTCTTTATGCTAACAGTTTTTTTTTTTTTTTTTGTATATATAACAATATTAATCACAAAATTCCAACTTTTATATAAACTGTAATTTTTGCATAATTGAATTCTTGCTGGCTGAAGCATTACTATCAATTTTTATGAACACTATTTCGACTTGTTTGTGTCCTCTTGGTAAGTCTTTAACTCAGTTTGGTTCTTTGTTTCTTATTAACTTCTCTTGTATTCTAACTTTGTTGTGTTTTTTTTTTTAAGTTATCACAGTATTACTAGGTTGGTATATCAACTTTCTTATGGTGTCTAATGCTAGAACAACTCAGATAGAAAGTATCTTCTTTTGGTTTTCTTCATTTGTTGTCTTGTTATTTCTGTCGATACTAACTTTTTTTTTTTTTTAGTTCTTGATACTAACATCTTATCTTTCTCTTGGCTTGCCAGAACACCAGAACCTGGGCTGGATTCTTTTCTTTGGATTTCAGGTAAAGTATTATATATATATATATATATATATTTTTCTTTGCCTTGTTATCAACTTTCTAATAGTTATTCTTTTTTTTTTTTCTTTAATTTTTGGTAAGTACATCTATTATAGGTTATATTTGCTTCTTGCCAATATGTTAACTAGCTTTTCTTTAGGTATGTTTTTTCTTTCTTTTCTTTTTTGTTCTTTTTATACTTATTGTCTTTTTCTAATTTAATCTACTTTCTTTCTTCACATGATACATTAATGAGATCTCGATTTGGTAATTCAATCTTTTATTCTGATACATTGGCTTTCATTCTTCATATGATACATCAGTGAGGTGTTAGTATGTTGGTTTAAAAGGCGATTCTTTCTTGCTAGTACATTGGCTTTCATTTACACAGTATGTTAATGAGTTTCTTTTTACTGTTTCTTTCCTTTATTTTTCTATTAGCTTCTTTTCTAATTTAACTTTTTCTTTTTTTTGAATTGAAGAAAGGGAGGTTGGACAATCTCATAGTCATTACCAAATATAAAGATAATGGTCAGAACTACTTTAGAATTCTCTATTCATAGGGTAGCTGATGGGTAGTTTGTGTAACATAAAATGTTATTACACTCGAAAGAAGTATTAGATTTGGTGAGTGTATCTGGTAGGTATTCTTTATTATGTCCTATATATTCTATTTTCTATTCTATTCTAAATGCATTGCTTATATACTTTTTCTCTATCTGCTAAATGCACTACTTATGCTATATATGCTAAATACACTAATTATGCTAGTTACATTATATATGCTAATTATACTTTATATGCTATATATGCTATATATATTATATATACTATATATACTATATACACTTATATGCTATATACACTATATATGCTATATCTATTGCATATCTTATATTTACTAAATATACTATATGTGTGCCTGATCTTGTATATATTATCAATGATCCTATTTTGAATCATAACAATGTATTAACAAGATTTCTTTGTAAAATAATTGTAAATACTATAATTAAAGCCAATTAAAAAGAAACTAATCTAATTAAAATATTAAAACTAGAAACAAAATACATATTTACAATTGATTAAGTTTTTAAAAAAAGATAAATACATTAAAAAACTAAATACAAGAAAAGCTACTATAGTCAAATGCATAATAAACAGTCTACTAATATTAGAAAAATTAAATAAAAAAAAACTAGAAGTATATACAATAACAAAATATCAGATTTGTTAAGATAAAAAAATCTAAACATATATAGCAAACTATAATAATCAAAAAAGTTTGTAAAAATAAATATAAAAAATATTAATAGCAACAGTATAGAATAAATTTAAAAAAACTTAAAATTTTATTGCAAATATTATATAGAATATTATTTAAAAAAACAGAAAAAAAATATTACAAATAAAAAACATCAATAAAAAAACTTATTATATTAGAAATAAAAAAAAAGATTTAAGTGACTTTTAAATAAGTAAGCAATACAGAATTGTATAGACATAGTAATAAAAATATATTCTATAACCAAATATAAAAAATCTAATATGAAAAAATACAAAAATAAAAAAAGTCTAAATATTACAAATAAAATAAAAAAGTATTTAAGTAAAAGAAAAATTAAAAAAAAAATAAAAAAAAAAATAAAATAATCAAAGTAAAAAATAAAAAATAAAAAAAATAAAAAAAAGTGAAATAAATAAAAAAAAAATAAGCTTAAAAGAAAATTGATAAACTTATTACAAAAGAGTAAAAATTCTTTTAGTATAACTTTAAATAGTTAGATAGATAGTCTATTTTTAATTAAAATAATGTAGCAGATTGCATTTAAATACTATTAAAATTGCTAAATAATATTAAACTTAAATATTAAAAAATTTTATATAATTATATATATAGTTTTAAGAATATTAACATAACTGTTTAAAATTAAATATATTTAGTTTTTTTTTATTAAACTAGTTTCTTTAAAACTAAAATTTTTTTATTTAGTACTAGCTGTGAACCTATTGCTATACAACAAAGAAAAATAGTATTAAACACAATTAGTATTTAATTAAACTTTATTAAATTAGATATAATTTTAGTAAAATTTTTATTTAATTTAAGTATTAACAAATTATAAATATTTTAGTTACACAATTGTATTTATTTATATAGAGTAATCTAAGCATTATCTTGCAGCTAAATATTACATACAAATTTTTTTATAACATAGTATAGATTATAAAATATAGAAACTTATAACTAAATATCTCAATAAAACTACTTTATATTAAAAAGTATATTTACTTATATATATACTTTTGGTATCTAATTTAAGTAATCTATTTATATATAGGTTTTATACTAACTGTTATATTTATAATTTAACTACAGATATTGCTTATTTAAATTTTTTGTATTATAATTCTTACTATATTACTAGATTATCTTTAATACTAATATTAGTTAAAAAAAGTTAAATATCTATAGAATGCATATTATGTTTTATGTAGTTTATTTTTAAAATATTATTATTAAACTCTTTTGTATTCTATTTACTACTAATCTAGTTTCTAACTCTTATAAAATTTATACAATTTTAATATGTTTTTTTTCTAATCTTACTAATATTTTATTTGCTTTTCTATATTACCAATTCAGTTAACTTTACATAATGTAACTTTATACTTAGATTAACTGATAACCAGGTTAATGAACCTTTTACTAAAAGGTTCTTGTCTATACAGGTTACCTGTTTTAAGTTTTCTCTTTCAAATCAAAATCTTCA